TGATTTTGTTAACAATGTCACAGTAAAAAGTAAGGCGTTTATTAAAAATATAGATATAAAGCTAACTAAGAACATCAATTAAAGATATAGCTCTAAAATCATCAGGATCATCTTTAGGTTCTTTTTTATGAATAGTTATCAATAAAGTAGTAGTCTACTGTTCTGAGAATTCTCCAGATGAAAAAATTCTATTAAAAAGCTTTCTGATATAAGATAATAATTATATACATTGCACCATGTTTTAAGTGATTCGCAGTTAGATTCCGTGCACTTGCCTTATTTGTATTCAAAGATTTTAATGCATCTAAAATATCATCATCTGTAATTTCCTTATTAAGGATAGACGACTCCAAATCACTGGTTGTACAAATGTCATCATTAAATAATGGTTGAGTACAATCTGACTCATTGATATAATTATCATTAAATAACTCATTAAAGTGGTTTAACCATTATTCAGTAGAAATGTGTGATGTATTATAATCAACATTTGACTGTGACGTGATTTTAAGCGTCTTCCAGAATAACTGCGAATCACCTGACACATCTGCCAATTTTGCAAATAGATTTATCTCTATGTAACTCTTTTTTTTATATTTACATATATTTTCTTATTTGCTATATATTGGTTCAAATCGCTTTAAGACTTAGTTAATCTAAAGTTTCTTAGAGAAAATGCTACTCTGGCCTTTAACTTTTTATATTCAATATCTAACCACGTTTTATTGGTTTTCTGTTTCCTATTATATGAAGATCTACAAAAATCACTACTACATTCAATTAAAGTATTTTCAAATTCAACAACAATATCATTAATAGGACAATTAACATTTCCAGTCATTGTGTCAATACTTTTAAAATGGCCTGCTCTATGTTATTAGAAAGCATTTTCTGGTAGTGTGAAATAATATCATCATTAAAGCAATAGACTCGCTTAACTGATATATTTTTCTCATCAGTATTACGTCTTGTAATTTCATTATTTATGCCTTAAAATTTAGCTATAATTGGAAAGTGTTCACACTCTGCTAAATCATCAACAATAACATCTTTAACTAAATGAAAAATATTTAAGTTGCATATAGCATAATCAATAACACTTTTTCCTAAGTGACTAACAAATGTGAAATGGTCACTATCGACACCTATATACACGTTGCATATACACAATGAAAAACATTTACATAGCTCAATGAGTTGTTGTCCAAAACGATTAATTAATGTGTCACATGGTTTCCTTATAGGTATGTTAACGTCTTCAAACATTTCATCATATTCTCTAAAAGGAGGAATATTTTTATTTACACTTGGGATTTCCCTTTCACATGCAGTTCGGGCATTTAGATCACCAACTATAAGTAGGTCAAATGAATTATTATAGTAAACATTTAATATATTTTCAATTATATCTATTCCGTTATTATGCTCATTATTACACACCCGGTGATCCGTCCGGCGAAATATATAAGGCTAAGAAAAATATCTTTAGAAGTTTGAAAAAGATTACGACTTATCTTAAAAACAACACCATGATTAAAATTTTCTTCTATCCTTTGTAAAGAACCACTTAACTTATGTTTATTGAAAACTATGACTCCACCCATGTTTCTACCATGGCTAGAGGATTTTCTGGCAAAACAATCATATGTTACATACAATGGAGATAAATCTGGAATATGCAACGTATCACATAGCCAAGTTTCTACAAGTGTTATAATGTCAAATTTTGATAAATATTCAATAATATCTTTACGTTTGATAATGTTAATATTTCCACCAATATTCCATGTTAGGAACAAAATGTCACAGTTAGATTTAGGGCCTTGACCGGATTTCTAGTGTTCCGGGCTGGAGTTTATTGGAAAGCCAACATCCTCGCTAAAAGGTCCATTGTCAACGGAAGATGCGTCACAAGTTGACGTTTGTACGCCCTACAAGGTCGATTGCCTTGTCGCCGTCCTATTGCGTATTTGCGTGATGAACTTGAGCATTTCTTTCCCGCTGATATAGAATGCCATTCTTAAAATAACCAACAATGCCTTTATCACTTAACTGTTTGAGTTGTTGCCTTTGGTAACGCGTTAGACCACTAGCTACCCTAATAACTTTTTTTCAGTTTACTTCTACAAGAGAAAACTTTATTTGATTACAACTAAATCTTATGATCACCATTCGAGGTTTTTTTGCATCAAATTTACCAATCCGTCTAATATCATGTATACTATGATCATTATACTTTTCGCCAGGGAACACAATACTATGTATTTCACTCACGTACTTGCTTTTCGTACTATCCGGAAGTTCCTCTTCATTATCAGGTAAACCAAATACTCTTAAGTTGTTTTGAACATTTTCAGTATTTAATTCTAACATATGAATACGCTTATCCGAAGAACATACATCAGTACTATTTCGATCCAGATGAATGGCCATACTTTCAAGCTCATCTCGCATGTTCTCCTGTCTGGCGTCAAAATTCTCAAAGTTGCAATTGAACTCTTGTATATTATTGCCAAAAGAATGTTGTTAAGTTTCAATAGACGCAACCTTCGTACTAATTTTACGAAGCTCATGTCTCATACGTTTCATGTCTGACCTAACAACACTTACTTTTAACTTCTGAAATGGCATCAAACATTTGCTTATTGTATTCTGCCATGGAATGCACAATATACTGCGTATCTGGGTTAGCAAAATGCCCATGACTATGGAAAAACCAGGATGTGGTGAGTCACTATGTAATGGCGACATATCATTTTTATGCCTCGGGTTAGCGTCGACATCACCAGACAGCATAATAATGCGTTGATCTTAACATAGATAGTATAAAATCGTTACTTGGGGTAGCTATCGATTTATCAAAGGCACGGTTAATATCACTGCAAAAAAGATGAAAATAAATCATGAAGAGTTGCTCTAATAATATAGGCAATATGTAGACAGACTAATATAAGTGTTAATCCAAACATTCATGTCATTGCTTTAAAATGAATGTCTGTTCCATTGGTATTAGACATTTGCGACATAATATCGGGTAGGATTACCGAGGAACAGTTACGCTAATATTGAGGGGTCATCTCAAAACGATGCCAAAATATAAAAGAATTTGGTGCAGATTTAGGGTTACTGATTTATGATGAAAATACGTATTACTTTTGTAGTTTATCGTTTTTTCTTAATCATGCTTATTTAATATATTGATCATTTATTTCGGTAGAACTTTTGCTTATAATCCCACCACGATTCTTACTGAAATAGCAGAAATGTATTTCAAATGCACACATAGATTCAAGTTCTCCGAGTTGAGTTGTGAGACACCCGAAACACTTACACAATTCTTTAAAAGATAAATAAAATGGTTAACTGAAGCTATGCACTTATGGAACAAATGCGAGTACATATAGCGGTCACGGCTATTGATGGCACATCTCGTAGAATATACCGATCTATAGTAGAGCCACAGGAATTATATTCTTCAGGACAAAGGTAATATCACGTTATACAAACAAATATTATTTCGTGGACAATGCCCATGTTATCCGTTACTTAAAATCCGCGTTTATTACATTGTTCGATAACTTTGAGAATATCCCTTTATATAACTTGCCCTCGATGCTCAATCCCCGTTCCTCATTATAAGCCGTCTATTAGGATTGCAAAATGTTTTGATGTTTTGAGTTTCATTGCTGGCATAATAAAGACACCGATACGGTGGTAAGATCAACACCCATTGTGTAGGAATAATATGTAAACAGTTTAAATACAATGAGATCAACCCTAAGTCACAGTCAGCCCTAACAGTCCACCATAGAATTCATTGAAAATTACTGTATATTACTGTATATTTAACGGTTAATTTAATCCTTCTCACAGTATGCACACAGTATGCATCATCGCACACTGAGAGATGTTCAATGCACTATATACATGAATAAATCCAATACCACTGCTATATACATGAAAAAGTAAAAAAATTTCTCCTTGATTGCTACTTCAATTACCACAAAATCACAGAAATAACCTCAACTCCACACTTAACTATATAATAATTAATACATCCACAATTTTTAGAGATAACTTCAGTCTAGCTATTTTAAATTAGTAAAAAAGTAAAGAGCAAAAAAATCATGTGTACACACCGCTCACACAATAGAATGACATTGTATGAGTGTCTTCATTAATATGATTATTTATCAGATTGATAGCATTTCATATAACCCCGACTTTGATATTGATACAAGATCTATGTCATTGGCCATATAAGCCAAATGCACGTTTGATAGACTCCATGATAACCCAATAAGCCCATTTATGAACAATAACGAAAGGACTCTTTTAATTTACATCAAAATGTTCTTAAAAAATCCCTTCCTAATTGGTTTTATTTTCCCCTGTCAATTAAGTAAATTACATTTAATTTATTTAAGTTGAATAATGTGTAACAAAATGTTATGGTACGATGATTATTTGGATTTTCCTTTCAATCCGCCCCCATTGCATTGAAACTGAGTGTCGTGGATTTTGAACCCCAGAAGGGCATTATCTAAGATTCTCACAGACCCGCATTGTAAAAGGAAAAAGTATTAAATTCAGTGATATAAATATTACAGGTATTACTTGGCTAAATAATGCTAGATTTATTAACACATATTGATCCTGATATTTTCAAGTCTAATAAAATCAAAACTGCCCTGTAAACATTTATAATACATGTACTTGACAATATCAACCAATATATTTTTGAGAATATATAGGCAAACAACTCCTCATTTTGGTAAGTTTTAAGGAGAGGAGTTTTTAATTAGGTTCTATAAGTAGTAAAATTGTAAAACAAAAGTTAAAAATGGGTAAGGTCTTTCTTTTTTTATCTGACGTGTTTTTATTTTATATTTCCTTTTTGTTATGTGACACATTTTTATTTTTCACTGTTTCCTTCTTTCCTTTTTGTCACATTTCCTTCTTTTGCTATCCCGTGATCTGCTATTTCTATCATATTTCAGGTGAATACTTTTGTCACATGTTTTGTTGCATTGTGTATATGTACACTGAAAGCTGAAGTTGGAGGTGAGGAAACTTGTGGAACTCAATTAAAGGAGTACAAAGGACAATCAAGGTATTATATAGAACGTAACACAAATATGTACGCATGCGCACACGCACACATTCTACACTCGTACATACACCGAAATACACCAATTTCAATATTCGTCCAAATAGTAATTATAATATAAAAGTTTACCTGTAACAGTACATCGTTAAACGATATTCGTTCTACAAAACACATAAATAACTGTGTTTGTGCCTATATAAACGACGATTGCAATATCTCAATGGCTTCTCTATTTTCCAGGATTGCCCCATCTATACCAAAGAGTCATTTGACATTACTTCTTTTGCTTGGGTTTGGCGGATTTTCTCTTCTTATTGCCCGTGGTTACAAGTCACTCCGCAAGTACGTGTTTAAAGACGATCAACATCTTGATACGGTATTTGATGCTGGTGGTCGTGTTACCTTTAGTTTGACAGCAGTGACTGTGACGTCACAAATGTTATGGCCAGCGGACTTTCTTCAAACTTCAACACTCACAAGCAAGGTATTAAAAGTTAATTTAGTTGGCATACCTGTTCCTAGCACCAAAAAGTGGTAAGATGTAGTACAAACATTTAAACTGAAATATTACATTTTACTTTTTCAAAATGACGTATTATTTCAGGCAAAATAAAAATTGTTTTCGATAGGAGTACAAATAGATTGCTCAAAACCGCTTCTAATAGATATAGATGTCAAAGAATGACATTTCTTGTATTTATAAATATCACAGAACTACGTTTTTCAATACGTATAAATATAGATATGTTAGACTGATATTTTAAAATTATGCATAGCTTAAAACGACATTTGAAATAAGTATAAATATACCAACATGACATTTCAAGTAGTCTTAAGTATCCATGAAAGATTTACCTTTGAAATGTATATAAATACAATAGAACCAGGCCTTTATATAAGAATATATAGCACAAAATACTAGTAGCTATATTTGAGACATATTTTTATATATACCTATTAGTTGACGTCCCAATAAAACTTTAAATAGTTTATTAAAATGTGTCATTCTTGGATATTTATAAATACAAATGTACCTAAGCTAAGATATATCAAAGAACTATTTATTATGTACTTATAAAAATCATGTGATGTAAAATCATGTAATGCATACAGGTTAAAGATATGAATAAATACTCTAGAACGAAATTCTATATACACTTTGAACTATGCATAGATGCCACAAAACAAAAATTAAAGTTGGTATTATAAATATCTAGGAAGAGCACAATTAGATTCGTACAGACAGATCAAAAACATTTTCAGATTGGTAAAGATCAATCTTAAAATCTTATTTGCTGAAGTTTTTTAAAACAAGATTGTCAAGGTCATGGCTGTTTATTAAAACTCGGGAATTCATTCCTTAAACAAAATTGTATGTTTGTAACGTGAGATATTATATCTCATATTGTAAGATATATCATGATTTTCTACAGTCTGGTCTAGGTGGAAGCCTGTGGATGGCTATTGGAGTTGTTGTTGACATTTTGTTGTTTCCCACTCTCTCTATCTACTTGAAGACACGAGCACCAGGAGCTAAAACATTCCCCCAGGTATATCTTTACAAATAGATTGCACAGTACATGCTTACGGACAGACTAGGGGTGGATATTCAATAAAGATCTGCAGATACGAAATTCATATTTACATTTTAACAGTCTTTGTACCAAATTTTATTACATTCATCCGTTTGGGAACATCGAAAAAGACAAAGTTATTCCATGCATAGATTTAAATATTTACTACATGCACTATTGAACAGTATTCACTTAACCCGTCTCAATGTTTGTCTATTATAGTCTACTCTTTTTTCTAAGATCGTAATAAAGCAATGTGCAATGTTTTAATTTAAAACTTATCAAAACGAGATATGGTCACGAAATATTATTTTATCACACACATGCACACGCACACACATACACATGTCCAAGTTTCAGAGTAACGCTCATACACAGTACGCATGTTTCCGAGTAACGCTTATACACAGCACACATACATTTTACATGTTTTAAAGTGACGATCATTCACAGCACACATACATTTTACATGTTTCCAAGTATCGCTCATACACTGCACACATACATTTCAAATGTTTCCGAATAAAGCTCATAACACAGCATCAACACATTATAGGTCATATGGCGATTTGCAGCTTACTGTTGGAGGAAAAACCTAGCTAACCCTCTGTGAATTATTTGTGGCACAAACGGTCACCTAAGTAAAACCAACAACGTTCCGTTCATCCACATTGTATTTTGCATTGTGGTTTCTTCAATAACTGCTCGGTTAGCGTTTTTATATTCATTTTAAGATCGTTTTAAGTACCCTTCTCTATTTTATGAATATGTGTTTTAATGACAATATAACGCTTGAGTGATCCGATATTTAAATCATCTTTCAATTTTATATTAACATGCATGATTTCTTGATGTTTCTGAAATTATAAAAGGCCGACGATAGGTTTTTAAAGCAAATGCTCAGTTAATTTTAATTTTTTATGCGATTTTCATTTCTAAATAAGAAAACGCGCGATGCTTTTCGATGATATCCTTAAGTTTTTTGGTTATCTTTTCTACCATTAAACTATGTTTTATGTAAAAATAAGTATCTGTTATAAAATAAGTAACCAAATATTTTACATTAAAAGTGCACATTTTCTTACTCATGTCAATTTATTATGAGGCTTACATACAAAAATAGTTGATGATCTTACAAAATAGCTTAAGAGAAAGAAACATGCTTGCGGTTCGGATCGGAATATCCGTCCCACATGGGCGGAAGCCGTTAGGAGGGATATTCCGATCAGGACCGCAATATATGACATATATTATTATTATTACAACCGGTATACAATACCAAATGTATTTAACCATTTACGCGATATACACGCCTTTTAACGTCTTTTTCACCCCCTTTTTGTTGTCTCAAATGGTGAAAAAATGCCTTATTTAGGCCCCAAACACTTGTTTTTGTTTGAGAAATGTTGTTAAAAAAGAGACCACTTTTTCGGCGCGGTCCCCAACCAAAAGATACATCAGAGGACTGCCAGAAGGGGGATGAGCCCCCTTCTGTTTTGGGGGTTTGAAGTGGGCGGCAGTCCCCCTTATCGCTTAGTATATTTTGGACTTGTGAGAGGCTAAAAATGACCCCAGATCGAGCATAAGGTAACCTGTAACCAACGCTGAAAAGCATTTGACTCTATATCAATCCATTGGGAAGTTGCAGCACTTTGAAATCAATTTTGATGGAAAAAAATCAACGCAAAAAAGTGATATTTGGCAAATTTGAGATGTCCCCTCGTTGCCATGGTAACAGGAAATTTAAGCCTGAGCATGTTGTAGCAAAAGCAATGGTCCAGTCAACATTTGTGTCAAGTTTGATTAGTATTTAAGCTGTTTTTTTTATAGTTTTATAGCAATTTGAACTTGTAACGGGAGACTTTTCAATGAAAACAGCCATTTTTCACAAAATGCTCATAAAGTAATGGGTTAAATGACCTGCTAAAATGTTATTACATGTGCAAATCGTGCGAAAATAGACTGTTGGTTAGAAAAATCAATAAACTTTCCCAAAGTATATTATACATGTGCTTTCATGAGGAAATCATGGTTCCACTAATCAAAATATGCCCTTCGTAATAATATATGGCTATTATCGTGTTTATGTGTGGCACATTGTCCTTGATTGCCTCATCATTACTACATGTACTTATAAAAGAAGACAAACTAAGCAATAATATATCCTATACGAATTAAATTACCACGATCAAATATGAATAATTCGTATGCTGATATGGTTTATATGATCCTATGGTATGGTAAAACATATGTCAACAAATCCATTAAAATGTTTTCAAGAGATTTTAATAAATAACAACAAAGACATAACATGTTCCAAACGTGTTGTTGTATGTATTTGTAAAACATTTATAAGATGATTCAATAGTCTGTAGTCTAAATGATAAATAGAGAATAACATGCTACTGTCTTTTGATGCTTGATGATAATTTTAAAAAGAAAGAATACGTTCAACGTTTACGTAACTTGTAACTGCACGTATTGATTTTTCGTTTCAGATAGCGTATGCTCGGTTTGGTAAACCAGCCCATATTCTGTTTTGTGGTGTGGGTCTCCTGTCCAATCTAATTGTGACAACCAGCATGATATTGGCGGGAAAATCTACGTTACAGGTGCTCGGTAAAGATACAAACAACGAGTTTATTGTGCTTATTTTAGCGGTTATGTTTGGTTCGTACTGTTTGATTGGAGGCCTTGGTACGACGTTCTATATCTCATATTTTAACACTGCACTGACATTTATTACTGTAAGTGTTTTCATTTTATATACGAGCTATTTTCCGTCAGAAGATATTAAGGATATTACATCAGTAGAAGCTCTATACAATGCAGCATCATGCATGAAAGCTCCTGATGACAACTTTAACAACTCGTATTTGACTTTCCGGTCGGCACCAGGAATTATATATGGGGTTGTCCTTATGTTTATGGCTACATCGACAGCTTTTTGTGACCAGGCGAACTGGCAAAGCAGAATAGCGGCTAAACCATCTCAAGGTGTTTTGGGATTTTTCCTAGCAGCATACATGTGGTTTGTTATACCGACAGCCCTTTCCTTTACAGCAACAATGACATATTTTTCCCTCAGCGCTGAAAATGGTACGAATATCCTTACATTGGCGGAAATTAACAACGGTATGTATATAACATGTATGAAGTTCGTACATGTATAATTTAATGAAATCTTTTAATGATCTGTACATGTAACAAATTTTGAGATACCATCAAATAATCAGGCAAATCACCCTAGATTCAATTTATAAATGTCGTTTAATAGATGTTGTAGTTAACTTACATAAATAACGAAGTTGATTGTTGGACAGATACAATATTATAATGTTGTATTTTTCATGGATTTCACTAGGTTACATAACTCCATATGTGATGAATGATCTGCTGGGACAAACAGGTGCTTACTTGTTGTTAACCATGTTGATGATGTCACTAATGTCGACAGGTTCAGGAGAAGTTATGGCTGTGTCATCTATTATTGTATATGATATCTACAAGACATACATTAAACCGTTCAGGTAATATGAAAATTTAAGACATACATCAAACCGTTCAGAAAGTGTGTAATAAACTGACCCGTTTAAAGCAAGGATCTTATTCCTGATCTCACACGTTTTCATTGTCCTGTTGTAGCAGTCCTCAAATTAAGTAAACCAAAGCAAAATAATTTTAAGAGACGTATTTGGCTATATGATAAAGGGGATTACGACACTTTCAGAGATAAACTAAGGTCATCAGACTTTTATCCCTTGGATGAATAACGATATCCGTAAATTAATCAGAAAACAAGCCAAACTTCACAAAAAAGCCAAACAAAACAATACCGATTTTCATTGGTCAAAAATTAGAAAAATTAGAAACGATTTCACTACACTTATACGAAACTCTAAATTAATGTATCAAAATAAACTAATTAAAAAAATCAACTGAAATAATGTAAACCCTAAAGAATGGTACAAATGTAGTAAACAACTAGTAAAGAAACAATCATCAAATTCAATACCTTCACTAAATTACAACAATATCATTGCATCATCCGATTAAGAGAAGGTAGATATTCTAAACCATTTCTTTAGTTTGCAATCAAAGGTAGATGATAAAGATTCAATATTTCCATCCCTTACTGAAACAAACATTCCTATCCTATCAAACATCTTTAACATTACGCAGCAGGATGTGCTTTACTCATTATCCTTAATAGATCCCTCGAAAGCATGTGGCCAGGACCTTGTAAGCCCTAAATTACTACGAGAAGCCGCGCCTGTTTAAGCCAGTCCACTCGCAGCCTTTTTCTAACAATCTTATTCGTTCTTCTTCCTTCCCTACACCCTGGAAACTTGCTAATGTAACTCCTATTCTTAAAAAATCTGATCCAACACGTCCCGAAAATTACCGTCCTTTCTCATTGTTAAGCTGTATCGGAAAATTGATGGAAAGATGTGTTCATCAGTATCTGTATAATCATCTTGTCACTTATAATTTGCTTACTCCTCACCAGTCAGGTTATATAAGAGGTGACTCAACAGTTAATCAATTAGTTTACCTACACAATGATATTTGTCAAGCTCTCGATCAAGGTTGAGAGGTAAGGGCTATATTTTGTGTTAACTCCAAAGCCTTTGATCGAGTATGGCATCAAGATATTCTCTACAATCTATCTTCATTGGGTGTAAATGGATCGCTTCTTCAATGGTTCTCCTCCTATTTGTGTTCCAGGCGACAAAGAGTCCAGTAAGGAAATGTATCCTCAGCATGGGTTTCTATCTCCGCAGGTGTCCCTCAAGGTTTAATTTTTGGTCCTCTTTTGTTTCTTGTCTACGTCAACGACATCGTAAATGACATATCTTCTAACATAAAACATTTTGCGGATGATACGAGTTTGTATATAGTCGTTGATAACCCACTTACCAGTTTTAACTTAGTCTTAACTCAGTCTTAGATCAAATACATTCTTGGGCCAATACTTGGCTTGTTTCTTTTAATCCAGAAAAAACAAAAACAATTACTTTTTCAAGGAAATAATCTTAAGCGTCTCATCTTAAACTTGGTTATAACTCTATACCAATATCTTAGGTTACATCACATAAACATCTTGGTGTAACTTAATTTCATGATGCCCGTTGGAAAACCCTTATTCATCTATTACTTGATAAAGCCTGGAAATGAATCGGACTACTCAGAAGTTTTAAATTTCTTTTATTACGAATAAGTTTAGAATGCATGTATTATTCATTCGTCCGCCTACTTCTTGAATATGCTGATGCAGTCTGGGATAACTTAAATGACGAACTAAATAAGGAAATAGAATCCGTTCAAAATGAAGCAGCTAGAATAGTCGCAGGCGCTACCAAACTGTGTAATATTAACAGACTCATCAGTGAACTTGGGTGGGAATCGTTAGAAAATAGAAGAAATAAACACAAATTAATCTTATTGTATAAAATGAAAAAACATATATCACCTTCTAACCTTTCAAATATTCTAACTCCCACCCAACAAAGTACATATAACCTTAGACATATTGACGATTTAACTCCAGTTCCAACCAGAACACATTTATACATTTATACTCAAAATCATTTCTCCCTTATACTGTTCGAACCTGTAATTCTCTTGACCTAGTCCAACTGTTAGCTCATATAAGTCCAAAATAACTCCGAATATCAACTGTAAGCTCATTCAAGTCCAAAATAACTCCAGAATATCAACTGTAAGTCATTCAAGTCCAAAATAACTACGAATATCAAAAGACCACCGTCTTACTACAATACATGCACACGTAAAGATCAAATCCTTCACACAAGACTAAGATTAGGATGTAGTTCATTGAATAAGGATATGTTCTGGAAAGTCCAACATGCACATGCGGATTGAGAGAAACTGTATCTCATTTCTTATTGCAATGTACCAAATACAGAAATATACGTTAAAGATTTCTCACTAATTTAACTTGTCCGGATACAGTAAATAATCTTCTTTACGGCAACGAACATCTCTCTTCTGATAAAGACAAAACCCTCTCTCAGAATGTTTAAAAATTCATCACACAATCGAAGCGCTTTTTGTAAGAATTACTATCAGTGTGAATAAACTTGGTCTTTCCGTACGCTCATATTTCATATTTCTTTACACGTCAATCTTAATTATTAAACTCCGATATATTTAATCATATCTTTCTTACATTCTTCCTTTCTTCTTACATTTCACCATAATTTACCTTAGTTTCTCTATAGTGATAATTCAACAATCAATCTTTGTTATACATTCAAAGAGCTTACATCTAACCGCAACATTTTTGTATCTTTATCTTGAAAATTACTTTTACTGACGAGGAATTGATGTAAGTATTGTTTTATTTGTTTTCCAATCCAGTCTGAATTACATTGTTGTGCAATGTTTGTAAATGTCATTTATGTACAATTTTAAAGTTAAATAAAGTTAAAATTAAAGCAAGGATCTACACTTTTTTCTTCCAATATAGGTACCCATAATGTCTAGGTAGGGGAAGGGCTGTACTCTGTGAACGTCGCTTTTTTGCTGACCCTTTTCTCATTTTACATATTTCAACAGTTAACTGAAATACACAAAGTCTGTCAATTTTTGCGGAGAAAACATCATAGAGCTGTTTCTGCACACATTGTATAGATGGCAGACATGCATTATCATTGCTTGAATGTTTCCGCACATAATATAGTTCTATAAGATATGCATTTTTATTGCTTGAATGTTTCCGCACATATATTGTTTTATAAGATATGCAATTTCATTGCTTGATTGTTTCCGCACATATAATAGTTCTATATGATATGCATTTTCATGGCTTGAATGTTTCCGCACATATTATAGTTCTATAAGATATACATTTCCATTGCTTGAATGTTTCCGCACATATTATAGTTCTATAAGATATGTACATGTATTTTCATTGCTTGAATGTTTCCGCACATGTATTATAGTGCTACCAAATATGCATTATCATTATTAATTGGATGTTTACATTATTGTGCTATCACTACTGTTGTTTCTGTACAAATATAATAATACATTATCAGATATGCTTTATCATTACCGGTTTTCTGTTTGCAATCATTTTATAGTGTGATCACAACAAAAGTTGTTCCTGGATACATTAAAGTTCTATCAGATATGTATTTCATTACTAGAGTTATTTCAACATACATTTTGGTGGTATTAAATATGCATTGTCATAGCTAGATCTGTTTTTGCACACATTAACGTGTTAACTCACTATAATTATAGTAGTTTCTGCACACAGTAAAGTGTTCACTCACTATTATAAGTAGTTTCTGCACACATTAAAGTGTTCACTCACTATTATAGTAGTTTCTGCACACATTAAAGTGTTCACTCACTATTATAAGTAGTTTCTGCACACAATAAAGTGTTCACTCACTATTATAGTAGTTTCTGCACACATTAAAGTGTTCACTCACTATTATTGTAGTTTCTGCACACATTTAAGTGTTCACTCACTATTATAAGTAGTTTCTGCACACATTAAAGTGTTCACTCACTATTTTTAGTAGTTTCTGCACACATTAAAGTGTTTGCTCACTATTATAAGTAGTTTCTGCACACATTATAAAAAACACGTGACCTTTGATGTGAATGGACGTATTTTTAGTTGCTGTCGAATATAATTATAAAAATGTAATTGAACATAGTTTTATGAGAAAATATGTGGAATAAAAGTAGTTTTTTAATGCTGATACAATGACTAAATCTAAAAGAGTGAATAAAAGGAAAAAAGGAAGTAGTCGGACGAGGAATTGGAAAAAAATAGGAAAACTTTAAAAGCATGCGGAGGCCCGGCAGGGGCATCTAATGAAAACAATATTTTAGTAAGTGAAGTTTTGAATATTACAAACTCTGTATTATTTGATGACACATTATCTACACCACTACCGGTATTTGAAGACGATCACTTATTGTCGCTAAATGAAAAAGACCAATCACCTGGTAATGATGAGTACATAACAACTTCAGACAAAAACTTTCAATCTAGAAAAATGGAGGCTGAAATTAATTTAAACCCAACTAATGCTGACATTTTATGTTATTTGAAGAAAATTGATGCAAAAATTGAAAACATGGATGTAAAGTTACAGTCATTAGAAGCATTAGAGAAGAAAGTAGACAGTTTTGAAAATGAGTTGAAAAAAATTTGGCTTCATGTGCACGACAGTACTAAAAGTAATGATGAAAAAGTTATGAAAATTGATGAAAGAGTACAAAATGTTGAGTTCGCCGTAGTCGATAAGGATGATCAAATCGAAAAACTTTTAAATGAGAACATTTAAATGAAAGATGAAGTTGTATATTTAAAATCACAATCAATGAGAAACAATTTAATCTTTGGCGGAATTAAAGAAGAGAAAAAAGAAAAACCCGAAGAAACGGAACGTATACTTCGAAATCACCTGAAAGAAAAGTTAAATATGGCTGAGGAATATGTTAAGTCACTACAAATTGAGCGTGCCCACAGAATGGGTGTTCAAGGGCATGACGAAAGATCGTTTTGTAATCGCAAAATTGTTTGCAAATTTACATATTTTAAAGATCGGGAGATCGTCCGAAGTAAAAGAAAGCTGCTCGAAAAAACACCCTACTTTTTACATGAACAGTTTCCCCCAGAAGTTGTACAAAAACGACGTAGCTTATTTCCTCAACTGAAGAAAGCCCGAGAGGAAAACAAAACAGCATGGATTGCCTACGACACGCTGTTCGTCGATGGTAAACCAGACAAGTCAGCCTAGGAATTACCGGAGAGTGAGCTGAAAGTCTTCGCATGGAATTGCAATGGTTTAAGTGACGCTAAATTAAAAAATAAAGACTTTATTTCTAAAATTTCGGAAAATGATATATGTATTCTGACTGAATCCTGGACTGATGGAAATTCTAATATTGAAATTAATGGTTATACATGCTTTAATTTTTATAGAAAATTTAAACATAAAAGGGCTAAAAGAAACAGCGGCGGAATTGTTATATATGTAAAAAACAATATTAAAAACGGAGTTACTATTGTAAGAAACCATTGTGACACAATTATATGGATGAAACTGGACAGTGAGTTTTTAAGACAATGAATGATATATATTTATGTGGAGTTTATATGTGGTTTGATGACTCGCCTATTGCGAGTATTGAAAATGTATACTTATTTGAAATGTTAACTAATGATGTTTTTTATTTTGAAGACCTAGGTAAAGTGTTATTAGTAGGTGACTGGAATGGGAGAGTAGGCAATAAATCAGATTTTATAGTATGTGATAATAATGTAAAATATATCGATTCTGACGATTATTTTCCAGATGCACCATTATGCAGGGCCTCTTCTGATCCTATTGTTAACACGAGAGGTGAAAAGATCCTTGATTTTTGTAAAACTACTTGTATGAGATTAGCTAACGGTCGTTTAGGTAAAGATTGTAACGTAGGGGCATTTACGTATTATAGCCGTCAGTCAAGCAGTACAATTGACTATTTATTATTGAAAGAGTGCAATTTTCAGATTATAAGTGAATTCGAAATATGTCAATTTAATGAATTAAGTGATCATGCACCACTTTCGTTTACTGTTAAATACTTAGATACTAAATTTAATCCAAGAAATTTAGAAAGTGAGATAACAAATTTTAAATGGCGTGATGCTGACAAAGATAAATTTAGAAGGAGTTTATTGGGAAGAATGGCTGATTTAAACGGTATTTTTGAGAGTTCTTCTTCGAACGACATTGAAAATATTGTTTTAAAGTTTTCAAAGATCATTCAAGATGTAGCCGAGCCTCTTTTTAAGCGAAAAGGTAGAAAAAAGGGTGGAAACTCTGATTGTTCTTGGTTTGATGAAGAATGCTACGAAAAAAAGCGTAATTATCTTAATGCATTGTCGATCTTTAATAATTATAAAAACGAAACTAACAGGCATATTCTATGTGACTTGAAAAAAGAGTTTAAAAACATTGTTCGTAAAAAGAAACGACAATATAGACTTAAAAGGGCACAAGAATTGTCTGAATTAAAAACTAGTAAACCAAGAGAGTTTTGGAAACATTTCAAAAAACGAAATATATCACAAAGTTCGGATATACCTATTTTTAGATTTCCAAAATTATTTTGCAAATATGTTTGAAGAAATAAGGGCTACAACTAATTTTGATGCAAATATTTCAAATGATAATATTGATCCTAATATTAGTAACCCTACTTTCGAAGAGCTTAATATTCCCATATCTTGCGAAGAAGTTAGAGATGCGGTGAAGCGATTAAACCGCAACAAAGCGTCTTGTCCAAGTGATGACTTGTTGAACGAATACTTTATATTTTCTATTGATATATTAGTAGGCCATATCACTGAGTTTTTGATGCAGGCTATTTTCCAGAAATATGGTCTGAAGGCTTTATTATACCTCTTCATAAAAAAGGTGATCATACTAATGTTAATAATTATCGTGGCCTCACATTACTAAGTAACTTTGGGAAATTATTTATAAGTATCTTGACAAATAGAGTGGAAAAATGGTTTGATGAGAATAACATTTTGTCAGACGCTCAATTTGGTTTCAGAAAGGGGTGTAGTACAGTAGATGCAATTTTCGTGTTACACAATTTAATAAACCATATGTTAATTCAAAAAATGCGATTACCTTGTGCGTTTATCGACTTAAAAAAGGCGTTTGACTCTGTGAACCGCAATGCATTATGGTATAAATTGTTTAATATGGGATTAGATGGGAAGTTACTTAGAACTTTTAAATCAATGTATTCAATTGTTAAGTCGTGTGTTAAACATTGCAATACATTTTCAGAGTTTTTCAATTTATCGGTTGGGCTACGACAAGGCCAAAATAATTCGCCCGCCATGTTTGCACTATGTTTGCAGAAGACCTAGAATTATTTTTACAAAACTCTGTCGATTGTGGATTGAATATATTTGAAATATGTACATTTTATGTTTCGCATTCATTGCTTTTTCTTTATTAGCAGTTGATAAAAGAAATAATAAACAGCTTACATCAAAATTTAGATATTAAAAAGTGTCCTGCTTTAGTAAATGATATATATGTACAATATGAATACGTAACGGACAGTTTTATCATTCTAAGGAAAAATATTACGCCAACAAGTTGTATATTGTGCGGAAAGGAAAAGTTGAAGGAAATGTGTGCTGTAGGAAACGATCTATGCCAGTGTCCATCTTCTATTGGTTGTAATGCATGTGAATTGGATCTTGAAAACCGAGCGAAAGACGGTATTGACAATGTTGTTTATACTTGTTCCACTCATGGTAAATACAGGCAGTATGAAGATGGACTTATTCGATATAAGGTTAGTTACCATGAAAACAAGTTCTTTATTCTTACATGTTTGTGTCAACAATACAAATGCATGTACTATTATATCAGAGGAGTTAAAAAGCATTCTCATATGATATAAGGAGGGTCATTCTGGCATTGTTTTATGTATTTTAACTCCCTGACGACAACTTTATTTAATTAAAAATTGGTAAAGTACTTTAAGAGGTTGTTGCGACAGTTAGAAATAGTGCTTTAAATTACGTAAAACTTATCACTTTTTCAGAAAAGAGGAAAATAAAGAAATTAAAATTGTATATTTTAGGGCTAGTGTAAGATATAATTATTTTTTTTACATAAGTTGCTTTTTTAAAACTGGTATTTGATGTATGTTGATATTCAAGGACTTTTGTAAGTTGCTAATTAAGGGTGATTTAAGATACGAGTTGTTAATTTTAAAAGAGTTGTTATTTCAAAACTGGCATTTGATATTCAAGGGCTTCAGTTGTAAGTTTCTTTTTGAAGGGTGGTATAAGATACTAGTTGTTTATTTTGATATTAGTTCTTACTTTGGACATGTTGGAGTTGGTATATGATGTAAATTGATATTTCAGATGATGCTTAATATGATACCGATTTTATTTAGAAGTGATGATATGGTATGCTGTTTAAAAGTTTATTTTTAATAATATAGGTTTTTTATAATTATAAGAGAAAAGATAGGCGGATTTTTCAGAGCTGGTATATGATTTCAGAGCTGGTGTATGATATGGGTTGTAATAAGTATAGTACCATATGGTTTGCTCGTGTCGGAAACCGGTATGAACGTAAACTGGGCAACACTAAGCGCCCAGGCTCTAACTAGTCCCTTTCTATGGCCACTGTTTTTGACAATTACTTGGTCAAAGGCAACTTCGCAAGGTGTTATAGCAGGTAAGCCATCTTTTGTGTTTAAACAAGCGTTATTCCTTTAGATTTATCAAATACAATCATGTTTTGTTGTTTTAAAATGTAAAGATGTTATAACACAGGTTAACTGGGCTCAACATGGATAATTCCCGTCGACGTTCGGCATCTTCCGGAAACACGGAAATGTGAAAACGTTACATACAGAAGTATTCCATCATTATTATTGACATACGAGTATTTATATTTCCAAAATTGATAGGAATCGCCGTGCAGTTTGGTTATTACGATTTTATTTTAACAAATCTTGTTTATTGTATAGATCGCCGTCAAGGAACGGCGACAATAACAAACACTAGTCGTTGAATAAAGTATATGAAATACGGAAACGAATTTTCGTCTTTCTTAATCGAAAACGCCTGTATTTTCACTAGATAGGTTAAAAGTACATGTATACAATAAAACACGTTAAATTTCAGGCAGTGTTATTGGAGCAATGTGTTCTATTACCGGTTTGCTAGCGATGGGATCAACATATGAAGGTGGACTCGGTAATTTTTACGTTAACACGGCAGAATCGTATAGTATTTTAACGGCTTTATTAAGCGGTTTCGTTGTAAGCTGTTTTGTTTGTGTCGGTGTCTCTCTCTTTACACATAAAATACGCTGTGACGCCGATGCCGACAGGGAATGGGCCAAAACTATCAACATAGATAATCCATTGAACCCATTCCGTCAATTATACGAGAAAGAGTTAAGAGCGGTGAATGCAGGAACTAATATTACAGCCAGAACTATGGACACCGTGTTCAAAAAAGCGAAATTATATGCTGCAGTTGGTGGTGTTGTCAGTTTGGTGATTTTTGTGATCATTATTCCAGCGATTGCATTAAGTTTCGAGGTTCTGAATTTTGACCAGTTCTCATCATGGTTAAAAATGTTTCAGATTTACTGTTTTATTTGTACAGTGATAGTTGTTGTGTTACCGCCAGTAGAAGAATGCTTACAAATATGGCGGAAATATAAGAGAAATGTGGAAAGCGTTGACAAAGAAATGGGAAACTGTGTTCAAAATGAAATGACTCAAACTGTTTCAGAAAGATTATTAAATCCTGGCCCATCATCTTAATATTTTCGTTTTGCAAACTCAAGTGTTCACAATGTCGTTTATGATAATTAAACTAATAAGCTACAATCACAAGTTTTGTTAATGGTTAGCTTACCTGTACACAATGTGCTCATGGTTTGCTATTGTTATGGCCCTGTGTCCGGCGTCGGTCGTCTGTCGTCAACAATATCTCCTCCTAAACCCATGCACCAATAGTAATGAAACTACTCAGGAATGATCCTTGGATGATCCACTCCAATAATTGCTAAAACGGTTCCAGTCTGTTTAACAAAATGGCCGCCGGTGCTTAGAATATAAAATCCTTTAAACAACACCCCTTCTCAGTAGATTTTGATGAAACTATACAGGAATGATCCTTAGATGGGCTTTTATTTAAGCTACTCAAATGGTTCCGGTTTGTTGAATAAGATGGCTGTCAGTGATAAAAGTAGAAAAAAGTGTAAAATGACATCTTGTCCTGAACCGCGCAATAGTTTGTTGATGAAACTCTACAGAAATCCTCATTGTGTAGTCCTTTACTGAAATTCCTAAAATTGTTCTGGTTTGCCGAACAAGTTGGCCGCTAGAGCTAAACATATTTTTATAAAAATCCTTTAAACGAGATATTCTCCTTAATTATTTTAAAAATGCTTGATAACACTCTACAGGAATGATCCATGGATAGTTTTCCATAAAAAATGCTAAAAGGGTTACGGGCTGCTAAACAAGATGGCCGCAGAGCTATAAATTGAAAAACCTTTAAACGACATCTCCTCCATAACTCTCGGGTAGATCTTGATGAAACTGTACACACAGTGTGTGTGTATGTTGGGTTTATAAACTCTCGCCGCCGGTATAAAACCATATGGTCGAGCAACAGAATGATCCTTATATGGGGCTTTATATAAAAGTGTTCAAATGGTTCCGGTTTGTTGAACAATATGGCCGCCAATGTTTAGAATAGAACATCCTTTAAACAACATCTTCTTAAAGAAACTGTACATAAATTGTCGTTGAATTGTCCCCTATAAAAGGCTCCAATGGTTCCGGTCTGCTGATCAAGATTGTCTTTAGAGTTAAAAATAAAAAACTTTTTAAAATTCTAGACACTATTTAAGTTGTGTTCAGTGTTAATATAGTTTGTGTAGAGTCCATTATGTAAAGATGATATGATAGGTATCTTTTAATAAAAATATTTTTAACACACAAACCCTTGTACACTAAAATTTTTAAAACTTATGTTTCCACCAATGTCTTTATAATGCAATCTTGTTCCTTTGAACCATCTTTTTAGATGAGCGATTAAGGGCCATCATGCCCCCTTGTTCTTATAGCACTCCATAAGATATTTTTGATATTTCTCTTTTCTTGATCATGTGACATCTTGATAATTAATTATTATATGCTTAATGGTGACTTATAAGCCGATTGGGCCAGGTTGTGTTTGTGTTGTATATATTATTCACATGTAACCAGACTGAATCATATATTTTATTTAAACAGATATCTATCTCTTATGTTATCTTATGATTACAGTGTTAAAAATAAAGACAAGAAAATGATCATTGAATTGTGATAATTACGGGTGTTGGAAAGTTGGTTTTTTTCTTGTAATTATTGTAGCATGTGTTAAGATAACACTTTTCATTGGAAATATATAATTGAATGTTAAACGAGAAAGAAACAATACATGTATATAACAAGATTATGTGCATTTTCTATAAGTTTAAAGTAATCATTGACTATTAATTGTAATACTAGGGTATATAGGATATTGAATGAGTGTACATCAATACTGACTTTATTGAGCGACTTAAACAAAATATTATTTTATTCAACAAGTTCAATAAATTCAGCAATGAACCTACACGGATTTAATATTCTATTAACTACATACCCAAAATAAAGGCTGTTTAAAGTACATAAGAATCATTTTTCATTGACGCTTACAATTAGCGTGTCTTTACACTATGTTTGCCCCCTCCGTGGTCGAGGGGTTAGAGTCGATGACTTCTAATCCAGTTACCTCTCTGGCGTGGGTTCGATCTCCGGGTGATGCTTTGGTAGCTTAGCGCGGAGGAAGGTAGTCTTGTACTGGTGTAACTCTCCAGGAACGATGGTTAGGAAACTACCCGCCTATATGACTGAAATACTGTTGGAATAAGGCGTAAAATGAAACAAACAAACAAACAAACACTATGTTTGTATAACGTAAATGACGTCACGACAAAAATATGCATGGCCATGCAATACCATTATTACCGCGTCGCTAAATCGGCACGGGTAAGTGATTAATTATTTCATTTAAGTAATAGAAACACAAGGCCATCTAGTTTGTACTAGGGGGCGTAGTCCCCGAGTATAAATCAGATTGCCGTGTGTTTTGATGTTCTTTATCTTTTGTATCATAGTCAAACATAAAATCACGTCCCCTGTTGTCACAATATGAAACCCCAGAAAAATGTAACCAATGAACGAGCATCTGAATATGAAATTTATGTCGCTTTCCTTTTCTCTGCAGTCACAATAAGTAAACCCCGGCAAAAGTGGGCATATCAATGGGCATGCTCTGGATTGCGGGTAACTAATATCTGCACTCCAGTTAACGCACTGTATATGTATACGATTTAACTCTGACACGTTTTCAACAGAAAGGTCCCCAAACTATGATACAACATTTTGATAGTTTACTTTACCTAATAGTTAAGTAATAGAAAGAGCATCGAAACACGAGGCCATCTGATTTGTACAAGGGGGCGTAGCCCCCCGAGTACTTATCAGATTGCCGAGTGTTTTGATGTTCTTTCTCTTTTGTATCATAGTCAAACATAAAAACACGTTCCCTGGTTTCACAATATGAAGCCTCATGAAAAAGATGAGCAATGAACGAGCATCTGAATATGATATTTCTGTCGCTCCGTCACAATAAGTAAACCCCAGCAAAAATGAGCCTATCAATGGGCATGGTCTGGAGTGCGGGTAACTTATACCTGTACTCCAGTTAACGCACTGTGCATTTGTATGTATACGATTTAACTTTGACACATTTTCAACAAAACTGTCTCCAAACTATGATACAATTGTAATTTGTATCATAGTTTGGGAACCTTCTTTCTGTTGAAAATGTTGAAGAGCATGCATATTGATTGGCTAATATTTGCTGGAGTTTACTTCTTGTGACGGAAGAGAAAGGAAAAGCGATAGCAATGTAATTTTCAGATGCTCAGTGACAACAGGGAGCGTGATTTTATGTTTGACTATGATACAAAAGAGAAAGAACATCAAAACACTCGGCAATCTGAATAATACTCGGGGCCTACGCACCCTCGTACAAATCAGATAGCCTTGTGTTTCAATGCTCTTTCTATTACATGCCTCATCTGAGATTGGTGCGATTGCGTTGCGTAACCATTTTCATAAAAGTTACGTTAATAAACAGATGTCTATTTTTAATCCTGTCACATTATTACAGTACTGAAAATAAAGACAAATACAACAAAAAGTTACATAACCAGTAATGAGGGGTTTAGGTTTTTAAAACGTGTCCTGCATTTAGTTTCCATGTCGGTAGTAATCTGTTTCAGTACATCCGATATTAATGTTATATATCATTCTAATAAGTAATAGGTTGCCAATTGCATTTGAAGAAACAAAACACCCACATACCTTTTTCCTGTTTTATTATGACCATCATACACAAGTATACCTAGTAATCTGCATGCACTTAAACTTTTCTTACGAAAAGTACAACATCAAAAGATTATTACACGACAGATGATAATCGGCCCGCAAAATAAATAATGGCCCCGAGGTCTTAAAAATGAAATTATCACTGATTAGATTGTCACATGTGTACTGTCATTCCTTTTTATATGTGGAAACATTCTTCGTCGTCCCTGCATACTTCGTAGAGCCACTCCCCTCGGCTTTAGTCAGGACACCGGCATCGTATTTCATAAAGTCGAAGTTGTGCCGCCTTAAACGTAACTTCGAGCTGTAGCTTGCCGTCTTAAACGTTGCATGGGGTCTTCAATCTGCTGCCGATGCCCTGTACCTTCACAACTGTGTATACGTACCGAGAGGAAGACAGAAAATACCTCAGGTACAGAATATATTTATAAGTTCCCATAGATTTCTTTTGATTTGTCGAAGTTGCATATTTACAATTTTTGTACTATTAACTTCTTTGTCTACAAACCAGTACTTGTGCGTTGGACTATACACATGCATGTCATTATGATTTAAATAGTTTAAGTATGTTTTTTTCCTAAAAAGTAAATCTATTAACTGTACCATTGCACACATTCTTGAGTTATAGCTACAAACTCTCACTCTTCCTAAGATTTTTTAAGTACAGTTAAGAAAATATTCACGTTTTGGCGCTTTGGCCTCAACCTCAGTCTGACTTAAATTTCTCAGCATAACAACGACTCTTAATTAGGCTTTTTATGACAACATATACACCGAATGTCTTTAAAATTTGGTTTTGTACTTTCGTAGGAAGGGTTCATATGTGGTTGAAACCTAGACTGAGTATCTAACTTGATATTTGAATTAGAACTGTATCTGTAAAGGCCTCAACAGACGGTAGGGTTTAGTTGTACAGCACTAATAAGAGATAAGATGTACAATTTTCAAAGCTATACAACACTTGCATTCAGACAGTAATTCTACACTGTAAGAATCATCTGAGGTTTCCCCTAAAAAGGATCCCTTTACATTGATCCTGTACATACTTTACTCACTAAATACTTTTTTTTTCGCCATGAGTAATGATTGAAACACCTCCATTTAAAAAATATATATATATTTTTTTTTTAATGTGAAGCCTGACCGAGACTCACACCTGGGACCCTTGGAATACCGTACTGCGGCTCTACTGACTAAGCTATCTGGCCACCTACAAACTACCTCCCCTCCCCTAATTCATGTAATTAGAGAACAACTCAATACCGTGACATAATCATTTCGGAATAATTTGGGATTCGAACATAACACAACTTTGGGTCTCCTGAAGAGTTTTTCAACATCATTTTTACCCCATCTTACTACTATGTTTACCTTTTAGCCCTAATTGTTCTGGAATTTCATTCATTACACCCATTATCAGGAGATAATGTGCTTATCTGTTACTTGTCATTGTGGGAGGTCTGTAAAAATCCGTACGACAAGATTTTCACTCACGCCCAATATAAAATGTTCGATCCTCACTCCCCTCATCCTCATTGAAGACTATGATCCCTTATTATATCATTGTCCCAATTGTCATGTTGGTCAATATATGTTAGTCATATGAATATGTGATATTTCTTCTATGTCAGTCATATAAATGTGTGATACATCCTATATAATATAATTTTCACAGCTCAAATATATGTATATCTAGATGTTATTTTGCAAGCGAAACTGCTGTTATCTAATTGTTCCTCCTATTATCTTGTCATTGATGGCAAGATCTGGGAATGAGGAAATACATAAGTAAACATACATCTTTAGACTATAGAGCAACTTACCGGGTGGCTAATCTTGTATTTCGCTTATGGCAAGATTATCCCCCTTAAGTTTTCAATCTATTCTTCATGCAAAGTAGTTTATTAGAAAAATTGTCTGGACAATTACACATTTATATACAAATTTGTTCCATTTTATTAGTTAACTGCAGTTAATCATGTTAAGAAATTATATTGTATGTCAATATATTGTTAAAGCTATAGTGTGGTGGATGTTATATAACTCGATTTACAGGTCTAGCGATAAGACCATAGTAATTATCTCCCGTGCACAATCAGATTTGTTAAATAAATGCTTTACATAGTATTATTGTCAACAATAGTGTATGCAGTATGTAAAAATGTATGTAAAATTCACACTTTCGTTATCAACATGATTTAATTCAATATTCAATTGAGAAAGATTTTAACCTGTCAAATTATCTGCTTCACTAATGATAGAGCCAATCTAATATGTAAAGTCAGTACAATTGGATTTTTGTCACACTTAAAACTTATGTTGCATATATACTTTTGGCACATACGACGAAAATGTGAATTATTATAAACATGTACATCATGTAATAGGTAAATATATGTTTTCCTATGTGAAATGTGCTACTGTAATGCATGTTTACAAGAGATCATGTCAACTTTGCACGTTTGCAATATTATATGTTTTGCATATTGTACCACATGGGTCTATGACCTTCTGGGAAAAGATAAAAAAAACTTGTTAAAACTTGTTAATATGACATTGTTCTTACAATTTATCATATTGTCTTAATTGCATGAGCAATACGTGTTCTGTTTTGATCTGATTATGGATCACATCAAACGAACAGAATATTACCAGCACCAATAAACTATTAGCTTCACAGTCGAGCAACATGGTGTAAAAACAGCTATAAAAATATTTTATATTACTATGTGTTAAATAAACTTTTTAAATGCAGTAGATGTAATCCAATCGAGCTTTCAAAAATTTTAATTTTGCCGATTTTGACGTTCTTAAGGGATTCATTTGTTCTCTTTTTGTAATATTACGTGCTAATTAATCCAGAATATTGTCC